CGTGATCCCCCACAGGAATTGAAAGCGTGAAAGTGGGTTACCTAGTCGTTCATGACCGAAGGCCTTGGTGCGAACACCGGAGCAAGGTCTGGCTGTCTGTGGATCGCAGTTGTGGTTGCAGGGCTGTAGCTTGTGGCGGGAACAATAGATGATAATTAACAATTTTTATTGGGATTTAACATCCCAAAACCAACTTATGATTATGAGAGACGCCATAGTGGAGGGCTCCAAAAATTTCAACCACCGGGGGTTCTTCAATGTGCACCTAGATTGTTAATCAATCAATCATCAATCAATCAATCATCAATCAATCAATCAATCAATCAATCAATCAATCAGTGTTTATTCAATGAAGTTATAACAAAAGTGGTTACAAAGTATTTACAAAGGTTACAAGATCTAAGCTCATGGGCCTCAACCATATTCGCCTCCATTGAAAGCGTGGCTGTGGCGGCCGAAATTCAACCCAAGACCCGCGAATCAGCAGCTGATCCCTTAGCCGCTAGACTATTGTGGCGGGTGCAGCGACAATAAAGGAGAATGAGATGTGTGGCAGAAACCAAAAAGTGGCAGCTATGCTGGGAAAGAAAAGGTGGAGGGTAAAGAAGCCAACTTTTAACAGGGCTAGCACCAGTGTAGATGGTCACTTCACGTAGATCAGGCATATTCTACTGCTTAAGTAGGCTTCATTTCGGAAGGTGTCAGCTCTTTAGTAGACAAATAATTTGAACAAGTTTTAACAACAATGCCAAATAGCATACACATGTCATTATACTGGTAATTATGAGACCCAGTTTAATACAGGCCTGAGCTCAACCTGAGCCTAAAGCTCATAGGCTTGTTCTCAGCCCGGGCCCGACCTAACAATCCCTTACCCGGCTTGGCCTCCGGTGGGCTTGACCTTTTGGGCAGGCCCGGGCCTATGCGGTGTGCGAATGATACTCACCATCTCCATCAAGTACGTAACTTTGTATGTATCCAGCACTACTCCAGGAAAACAGGTCAGGGAAGTCTCTTGTTGTTGCCTTCCTAATCTTGATTAAATTATCTTCTGTCAGCTTCTTCTCGTGCATAGCAATATGTATAAATGCTATGGTAAAAAATGGGTTGGGGGAGGCACCAAAGATTTCCCTGGTAATGTTGAAAGTAATTAAGACAGGCAACTCTGCTGTGAAGACAAATATTGTGCTTAAATGAGGGGAACCGCTTGCAGGAGCATATCACTAGCAAAAAGAAGCACCTGCTTGCCCTGTCATGAACTTACTTACGCAAATCTTTCCTTGAAGACATTGTTAGTGCTTTCTAACAGATTACGTAAACAAAAGCAAATAGAAGTGTGTTTGCCTATTCCTTGTTGAAAGGGGCCTTGCAACACTTTTTGAGCATGGTCCGAAAACGCTGCCGATCGGTAGTAAAGGCTCCCGAGGACACGTGAGCCAAATGTCATAGCACAGCACCATGGCCTGGAATTCACTATAAATTATCCAAGTCAGCTAAAGGTTTCTTTCTCTTCCCTCAACAAATGACAAAAGACGCTCGAAAATCACTTGTAGAAGGCCATCTATTACCCATTGGCTGATTTTAACATGGCGCGCTTGGTCGTTATAGAGATCACCGCAAGATGCCGTGACTTGTCTGCACATGCACGAGCAATCGTACCGAAAAAGACGCGTTTTCAAAGAAAAAAGAAAAATTGTGCTCAAAGTATTTTCTTTGTTCCTGCCATCCCTCCCTGCTTAGCTTTCAGTGCTTTCATTGAGATGAGAGAAGAGAGAATGCAATTTCAACGTGTGACAAATCTTTGTAACTGCACTCGTACTGGACGGATTCTTAAAATTATTGTGGCGTTGAATTTGTGAGGTAATAAGCTCTTCCAGTAAATTCATTCCATGGTTACCTAAAAAAGTGTTTCAGAGCCCTTTTTAGAACCAAAAACACTAATTTTGTGTGTCGTTATGTTACTTTTCGAAAGGTCAAGGATGATGCTGTCGCGTCATTCAGGGGTGTTGCTGTTATAGTGAATCAAGGGATTGCATGTACGCATCGACCACTATAAACATCCATCGAGGCAGTGGCTGTTTGAGCAGTTGTTTTCAATGAACTTTTCACCACCTGCTCTCTCTACCTACCTCCACATCACCATCTTGAAAAGCATGAATTTCAGTCCCTAATAAATGAACTTCCAGAACTCCATCTTGTATCAAAGGAGGTTAGAGGGGTACTGACACGAAAATTTTGATTTCTTGTTTCTTGCATCATATGAACGGCCAAGCCCCCAATATATTTGCCCAGGATATGTAGTGCTCAGCGCGAGTACACCCTGAAAAAGTTGCAGTTTTGGCACAACGCCAAAGCAATGAACGTGATAGCAACACATCGGACTGTTATACGAAGTAAGGCTACGAGATTAGGAACCATACGAAATGTAGTGAACATGGTCGAATGTGCATTGAGCTGCAGTGTTTCTCACATGCGTAGCACCACATTCTTCCTGTGTCTGGGCACGAATGCGAGGCCGCCTTGCTTCAGTGTGACTAGCATTTTGTTGGAGCTGTTCGTACGATACGCGGTGGTATCACAAAGGCCGAACTACATACAGCATTTTCAGTGGCGTTTCCTTCCTTGGCGTCAGTTGACATTGATGGTGATAGTAGCGAAAAGTACAGTTGTACTTCACTAAACGGTCCACCTCATAATGTCCCAGACAATGTAATGTGGGCGTCTAAGCCGGGAGCAGCTGGCTGATGGGAGAAGCTTACTTGCTTGCTTGTTTCTTGATATAGGAGCTCTGTTAGAAAAGTATCCAACCTAATTTTGTTTTGTGAGCACCTGATGGGTTTGAAACAAGTGCGCTTGTATCAGCCGACCTTGAACCTTCGTGCGCATGCGTGAATTTTTTACCGCCTGCCAATAGCGTCAGTCGCTGAAATGCAGCGTTTGAGTGAGGTAGTGCGCAGTGCTCTCGTTGGTTTTTCTTCGCAAGGAAAATGATGAAATGACTGGAGGAGCGCTACTGCATCAAATTTTGCCAAAAATTGGGGACAGCCAAGTGGAAACCATTGAGAAGATCAAGATGGCTTTTGGTGACGACGCTATGAGCCGCACACAGATTAAGGAGCGGTACAACCGGTTTAAAGACGATCGCACATGGGTGGAGAGTGAGCCACGCTTTGGTTGGTCATCAACATGCCAAAATGACCAATTATTGTTGAAGTGGACGCTGTGGTGACGCGGGACCGTCGTGTGACTATCCAGGAAATTGTGGAAGAGGTCGGCATCAGCACTTCCGCTGCAAATTTTATTGTGATCGTAGATTTGGCATTAAAAGAGTTGCGGCGAAATTCGTGCCGTAATTGCTCACGGTGAAGCAAAAGCAACTTCGTGTTGAAGTCTCACAGGGCATGCTGGATTTCACAAGCAATGACCCTAACTTCATGAACACCTTTATCACTGGGGATGAGTCTTGGGTGTTTGGGTACGACCCAGAAACCAAATCGCAGTCGTCACAGTGGAAGCATTCCACATCGCCAAAACCCACCAACACACAACAAGGCCCACCAAGGCCCACCAACTGCGCAGCAACGTGATGCGGAGTGTGTTCTTGACTCCCGCAGTGTGGTACACTAAAAGTACGCACCACAGGGTCAAACAATCACTAAAGAGAACTACACGGATGTCATCCGTCAGCCCTTGCCATCTCCACTCGTCCAAGGCTCTGCATCTTGGTGAAAGCAAACTCACAATGTTCACCACTGAGCCACTTCAGAACTAGCATTTGTGGTTTAAGACTTTGAGACTTTGTGTCTTGACTGAAGTGTTTTACAGCATGCAGTGAACCTTTTGACAATGATTATTTCTCGCTGTAGTTATTAATTTAAGGTTTTGTGTGTTTGTGAAACAAACTGTTTTGCCCTTATTAATACGATTCACAGAAGCTCAGCCCTAAAAAGCCGCCACGAACCATTAAAAAAAAACCTGAATCAGAGATACTGAAGTAAAAATTTTCAGTTTTTTCATGCGATATGAAAGATCAAGCTCTTAGGAGTCTAATAAATGCACAGGTAAGTGTGAAGGCTTCTGAATCACATTATGCTCTTACCAGGTGATTTCAATTCCTAATGTATTTCGATGTCACAGCGTGTCATAACGTGCTCATGCAAAATATTGTGTAGTTTTCGTGGTCACTTCATTTCTGGCTTCATTGGTGACGTGCAAGTGCCCATTTTAGATGTTTAGGTGCCTGACATAATCACAATTAGCCATACTGGTGCCTAAAGTCTCCAGAATGGGCACCGCAGGCCGATGTCCTATGTCAAAATATTACATATATGGTGTCAGCATTCACTGAACTTACACTTGTGCATAGCATCTATCTGTGTACAGATCTGTATGGCAAAGTCAACTTACCTGGAAAATATATTTGTGTCAGTACCTCTTTATGTGCTGTCATTATTGAGATGAATAATGTATGAAAGGGCAGGGAATTAAAGCTGAAAAAATAAAAAATTAAATGTGCACCCTGTCACGGTCATAGTTGAAAAGCATATTTGAGGAAAGTACGTGGCACAAGTTATACAAGGACCAAGAACATAAAAAATGGAGCGGGGTCCTAGACAGTGCTTCGATTCACTGCATTGTACAGCAAACGTGTGTGTGATATTTTTTAGTGAAAGCATTTTGAATGCTGAACTCGATGTCATTTGACCTTTGTGGCATGTCCTTGCATACCCTTCTTGCATTGTTTTCCATTATGTAAAATGTGTTCTTCACCTAGCTAGATTCAAAGGTTAAAATGCTAGTTCATGTTCTTAGTGCAGATATTACTGTAGAGAGTCCATTATTAGCGTTTATAGTCTCACAAGTGTGCAAACTGTCTAGAGGATTGCAGAAATTTAGTTTCTTCCACAGAACGCTTTCAGTGATATTGAAATGTGGTGAAACTAAATATTTGGTGAAAAGAGTTAGATGATTCAAGGGGAAATATACTGTTTCTTTTTCAGAGCAAGAAAAGCTAGAAAACGAGATTGGTTCTTTGCGAAAGAAGCTGAAAAAGAATGTACAGTCTCTGCGTGAAATGGAAGGCCGGTCTGAAGTGCAGGGATTTTCATTGGAACCCCTCAGCCGGGAAGAGATGCAGGCCATCAGCCAGGCCATGGGCCAAGGGATGTAAAGGCAAGAAGACGCTGTTGCAAATAAATGGCAGTTGTTCGAGCATAGTCGTGGCAATATGCAAATGCTACAATGGTGTCTGCATGTTATGCTCTGTGACCACTGAAAGCCCGCTGCATAACACAATTGTGGATTGCTGGGCCAGTTGGTGTAACTTTATGTGGAAATATATGAGCGCACTTGATAGAACTTGTCGCCTTTACTCTCAAGTGCTTCCTTTCTTCTACCTTGTGCACTCATATACTTCCCACACCACTTGGTACCACGTTGGGTTATACAACAATCAGGGACCAGACTTCTTACATGACATAATGAGCTCCACTCTGAGAGACTCACATTGTAATTAAATCTAGAGCTGTGTAAATCGCAAATGTTTGGGTGCAAAGGGAATTCAAATGTTGAAGTGGGAGAGCTAATGAAATGAAATGTTTTAACAGGAAAGTGTTTTATGCCGAGGTCCACCATGGCTGATGTACTTCCGTCATGGAAGTGAAACATATATATATACCGAATTATATATATACCGAATTGATGCTGGGCTAACACTGCGCTAATACCGTTTCCACTAGCATCAGTGCAGACCTCGGTTGGAGCTTGAAGGGGATGTGTTGAAGTGGACTAGGCTCGATAGCATGGTGTTACGAGCTGGGAAAAAAGCGTGGCTTGATCAGGACCCCACTCAAATGGCGCATCTTTCTTGGAAAGATCAGTGAGGGGGCATGGTGTGCGACCTCTGCGTAGTTTTTGACGAATCGTTGGAAGTATGAGCATAGGCCCAAAAAACTTCGAATGTTCTTGGCACAAGTTGGTATGGGAAAATCGAGGACAGTGCAAACCTTATCGGGATTGAGGCGCATGGTGAATGAGTCAACGAGATGCCCTAGGATAGTAACTTGGCGATGCCCAAAGTGGAATTTAAGTTGGAGCCTGGCCGCACAAAACACTGAAAGAATGGATGAAATTTGCTCGAGGTGAGACTCAAAAGTTTTGGCAAACACAATCACATCGTCCAGATAACACAGGCGGATAGACCATTTAAAGCTCTGAAAAAGTGTGTCCATCATCCGCTCGAACGTGGCGGGCGCATTGCACAAGCGGAACGGCATTACCATAAATTAGTAGAGACCGTCAGGCGTTACAAAGGCGGTTTTTTCTCACTCGAGGTTGTCCACAGCAATTTGCCAGCAACTAGAGCATAAGTCTATTGAAAAAAAAAAAAAAAAAAGGTTAAACCATGAAGGCAATTTAAAGCATCATCGATACGAGGAAGCGGGTAGACATCATCTTTTGATGACCTTGTTTGAATGTCATTAGTCCACGCAGAAACGCCGGGTATTGTCTTTCTTTTTACCTAAAACCACAGGGGATGCCTAGGGACTCGAAAAAGGCTCAATGATGCCTTTTTTGAGTATCTTGTCGACCGCTTGTTGGATAACTTGTTGGATGGTGACATTCCGTAAGGATGCCTGTGAATTGAAGCTGCATCACCGTATCTATGCAATGTTTGACTTGCGTATTTACTCAAAGTCAAATATGTTCAAGTAGGTTGTAAGAAGATCACTGAGGTCTTTGACTTGAGATGGCAACAGGTCTGAGGCAATCATCTTGGTGACGTTGTTGTGCAGTGTAGATGATGTGGCTGCGTCGGTACTATGCGGGTTGGGGAGGAGGACTGTGGCCAATTCGTGCGATGCTAAAAGAGTGGTGAGACCTTGTGGTGGGACGTGAGGGCTGAGTCGGAAGTTCAGAAAAGAAAGGCACATCTTGTTCGCTCTAACAGTTAAAACGAAGTATGGAGAGGACACGTTGCGGACCAGTAAAACACCGGGAGAGGGAGAGACCACGTAATCTCCATCTAGTACTATGGGATATGGTACAACAGTGACATAAGTTAGGGCTTGTAGCAGGAGGCGAAGAAAGCCAGCACACGAAAGCTTGTTCATAACCATCTCGACACGTCGGGGGCACAGGCAGGTCAAGTTGCACGAGGCCGGCTGAGCAGTAAATTACAGCAGAGTGGTCAGACAAAAAAATTGAATCCGAGAGTGACGAGGGTGACGTTTGGCAGTCGGCAAACCTTACACGTGCAGTGCACATTTCGAGCACAGCCGGAGTCGCTCCCCTTGCGACACATACGAATAAGGACTCTGGCGGGATAAGGACCTTATTTACCTGCACGGACGTCAAAGCTGATATTTGAAATATATGCGCTAGTGTCAAGGAGGGCAGTAACAGGAAGCCCATTAACTTCTATATCAAGGAGGTTCTGGTCTCTGGTCTGTAGTCGGGGTCAGCAGAGGGTTTTCAGGTCGGGAGTCTGATGAAGTGTCACCTCCAGAGGCTGCATTGCTCAATTTTCGAGAAAGAGCGTCCAGTAGGGCGGGGCGACGTATAGCAATGGTGCTGAGGTGACCTGGAGCGATGATAATGCGGGAATGGGTAGAATGTCAGACTGATGTCGCAGGAGCCCCAATATATGGTCCATCGGCACGAGCGCCAAACTAAAGGGCCGGTGGTTGCTGTCACGTCGATAGCCAGAAAATGAGCGAGGTCAATAGGTACGAGAACGACAGTAGCGAGAGATATGCCCTACACTATAGCTATGAAAACAGATCGACTTGTCATCCTGCGTTCTCCACTGGGCAGGATCAGGATGTTGGCGAAATCTTTCCGGTGCACGAGAAGGCGTTCTGGTACTGACACGAGGTTTCGTCAACGAACACACAGACTGCAGTCTGAGGTTTGCCACCTCCTCCTGCATAACCTGCTGGATCAACGACATCGTTGGCCGATCATGAGATGGCTGCATCAGGAAAGATGGTAAATGCCGCCTCGATTTCTCGACGCACCATGTGGGCTATGCTCTCGTTGGTACGCGGTTGACTGCATGGTGCATGGAGGACCTCGCAGTGTTTGGAAGTCACAAGAAATGCTGGGCGACGTGGTGACTCTTCAGCTCTTTGAATCAGCGGCCCTCTTTGATGATGTAATCAACAGTTGAGCAGTCCTTAGACACGAGTAAGTTTAGAGCATCACCTGCGATGCCTTTGCTTCGTCTTCCTTTGTGATGTTGGGGTTGACACAATGGCAAAGGGTGAGAACGTCAAGAATGCAGGAGACGTACGATTCAGTCGTAGTTTATGCCCGACTAGAGAGTTCCTTAGAAGCTAGCTGCCAGCGCCCGACGGCTTTAGCAAATAGGTCACGAAGCTTCTGTTTGCAGTAATCCCAGCAGGTTAAGTCAGCTTCATGAGACTCAAACGACGCGTCTGCTGTTCTGCAGAGATAGAAGTGGACGTTGGCAAGCATCATTGTAAGATCCCAACGATACACCGCTGCAAACCACTCGAACTTCGGAATCCAGTCATCAACTTCAACATGGTCGGTGCTGCATAAGTTGCCAGCATCGTGTGGTTGCGTCAATACGCCCGGCTGTACCGGAGTTGCGGCTGAAGCAGGAGCAGCATAATTGGTTTCTGTTGACATGGTGGAGATGTTGAGGACATGTCCGCTGTACAGTTCCTTGTTGTGTCGTACCCAGCAGCTCCACCCAAATGTTGCAGAGATATTTACTACGTTACAGTAGAAAACCAGTCCACAAGTGAAGATGGTGGCTGTTGTATTTCTCGAACACCAACATATCGTCATCGCACACCACTGCAAAGTGACAGCTACAATGATAATAGCCTGACTGTCTGTTTCGAAATTTTTTTCTTTCCTTGAATTGCAGCAATACGCATTGGCTGCTCATCTGGGGTCGCTTCTGTTTGTTCCTGCATTTTGTGTGGGGCCACTTTTCAATTCTTGTTAATAGTCTGCTAAAAATGAAATGCAAATTTATAGTCTTGAAATTGAAGTAGCTCTGTAGCTACTTCCAGTAGTCTCTATATGTGGGGTACTACTTGTTGAAATATTATTATAGACAAATCGTTGTATTGATAGTTTTCAGTCACTCACCGTGGATATTGTTCAGCAAAGTTGACAATTTTGTCAGTTGTTGAGAGGTCATCTTCACATATGAAGCAGTGTATGGAGAGAAGACATAAAAGGAATGAAATGGTTAGACAAAAGAACTGCAGCTGTTGTCCTGTTGGATTGTTCTTTTTATGCCTTGTCTCTGTGCGCTTCTTCACACCCATAAATGTTGTTGCGAGAGTAAATTGATTGAGGGACAGATCCTTAAAAGTTAATGCAAAAGCTACATATACCCACAATGTGCTAGAAAAAGTAGATGGCAGTTCAATCTTTTGGTAAGGTAAATGTTCTCTTTGGAACCACATGTAATGGAGGTATAATCGTGAAGTGGGTACTTGTTTTCCCTACAGTCTTTGTGGACCTGCGGCATCAAAACCAAATATCTTGTCCTCAAGCGCTTCTCTCTGAAAAAAAAAAAAAAGGAAAGCAATGCGCTTCATAACGCTTGACAGGTGCTCTCTCTAGGCATTATACATTCATTTTCATTTTTTTAAAATCGTGATGCGTAATGTCGTCAGCTGAGCGTAGGTGAAAATAGTTTCTGAGGTCACATATCCTTGAACATGCATGATGGTAACTAATGGGCGATATCTCTGTTGCCTGTACACAAGCGTTGTAATTGAAACTACATTGACAGGTTGATTACATACCATAAATTTGAATTTTTTTCTTGTACAGCATTGTAACGACTGCAGAATAAATGAAAGAGGAGCAGTGCAAGCACTAATTAAAGAATGAGTACAAATGTGCAGTATCTTAATTGAGACTGTGTTGCTTCAAAAACAGCTTTCTAGTTGTGTTTAACTATGAATAATGACTCTTGAACAACCCTGATAGATTCTAGGCTGGTAAACTTTCTTACTTGCGTCTGAAAAACTTGTTTTCTTCTGCCACAAAAAATGAAGGGCAGCATGCAAAAGTAGAACATATTCATGCAGAAGATGGTCCCAGCACCAACTCTTCTCTCTTCGTGCCTGAAATATTCACGACATGGCTTTTTCAAAATACGAGCATAAGATCACTTCAACTCTCGTAAATTGTGTTGTTTATACATATTGCAGGCCATGGTTGGGCCCAAGCAGGAGTCCAAGAAAT